ACATTTCCATATGGCTTTATTTTTAATTGTGCTTTTAATAAAATTTAAACTATCTGCTATTTTTCATTTTAACTAATTTATTTCTGATTAGTCCTTTAAAAAAATATAAAGGGATTACAGTAAAATTAATCAAGAATTACTTGGGTTTTTTTATAATTCAGTATTATGAATAGGAAGCTACAGTCAATACCCATAGGAATTAACAGAAATCTTCAAAAAGGGATAGACAAAGCCATATTTTGGTCTGTTTTTTTTTTATTAACATTCATGTCTCTTCAAGAGGAAGTAACCCCCCAACAAAATAAACAAACACACAATTCCATTGATTTTTATTTGCCTCCTGGATATTTATAAGTGGGGAATGATGATAGGACTGGCATTCTGCTCTAGAAGTAGTACATCAAATTAGAGTATAATAAATTTTGCAGAAATACTTGTTAAGCACTGCTTTAATAATTAATCAGAAAAAAGGCAAGTCCATAATTTTCTAGTAGAGAAGATTTAATAGCTGATGGTGTAAGCATTTCCACTAAGATACTAATATTTATTTTTAGCAAAACAATATGAAAGCACTTGTTGCTGAATGATTTGTAAAGTACCATTTCAATTCTCAATACAAAAAGAAACATCCCTATTTTTTTTGCATTTGTTCTTTTACTTGCTAATTCCCAGTGCTGCTGCTTTCTTAGTGCAGACAGGTGTTACCTTCATTGTAAAAAGGTCTATGCTTCATCAATAGTGTGGAAAGTCTTGCTCATGAAGGTGCTAGTTGAAGCAAAATTTCTTACATTTACTAAAAAAGCGTATGGTTTTATCCAAGACACCTTCCTGTGACCAAGTTTCTCCTTTGTAAACAGGGAAAACAAGCTTCCCTACTTCATGGAAGCAGGGTGAGTTTCGATTCACTTATGTCTGCATGAAGTCTTAAGAATCTTGACTCAAATATACTATGTAATTATTATTATTTTGATAATTAAAAAATACAGTAATGAAACTTCTCCAGGGTATTTGAGACAATGTTTTACAGAAATCTGGTATCTGTTGATAGCACACACATCCTGTACTTGCCCAGGACATCAATCCTTCTGTCAGGGATGCTATTCACACAGGTTTTAATAGACTGTTCATCACAGACATCCAGCTGTTTAATCTCGAGGGTTTTGCCCAGCCTGTGACCTGCAGCTTCCTCCAGTGGTGCTTTCTTGGCCAGGTTCCTCATTGTGGCAAACACTGCAACACACCAGAAATCAAATCTGTACTGTGGCACTCCTACTGAGAAGTATTAAAGAACAGTGCTTTTACATCCAGGTCTTAATGTCAGTAATAGAAACCAGATAAAAACGAAAAGATTCTATTTTCAGCATATATTGTCACTGATTTCCCAGTCTGGTTCTGAAATCCTCGAGAAATTAAAAAGAAGAAGCTATGCATAATGAGGAACACAGGGTGTATAAAGCATAATACTGTCACTAAAATATTTTAAAAATGGGTATCAAATTATGCCACCAAATTGTTTTTAGGTATCCCAAACCTAATTCTGGATTCCAGGTTTTTGAGTTTTTTTTCAATCACCACACTATTTAGCAGGACCCACCATCATTTTATTAAAAAGTGAAGACATAATTGAAAAAATGTTTGTAAGCTACTTCTTAAAATTGAAATTATTGTAGCCTAATGGCTCAGAAAGCTCTAGATCTGCATCCAGTCAGTTAGCAGTAGAACACTAAGTGTGAGAGACTGAATTGCCACAGATTGCTGCCTTCACCTTGCAATCCATTTTCAATCATAGCAAATACCCTGCTTTGCAGCAATAAGACAAATCCCAGCCCTTTTGTTCACCTGCCTACACAGGCTTGGAATAATGAAATGTGCTTTAAGGAAAAAATTGCAAATTTGGAAACTGTTTACCTAAAGTCATTGCTTTGGTCTTCAAATGGGCATGGGCCTGTATATGTACAGATTTTAGTAGCCAGAAGCAAAGCTAACCCAGCTGTGAACACATACTCAGAGCAGCATAATACTACAGATATTTTCAGATATTTGTTTTTTACTACTGTTCTTTTTCATTGCCTGAATGTGTACACTATTCAGTTCCAATAGTTGTTCCATTTCAATAAAGGTACAGAAATATCAACTGCTTACAGAAATCAGTGTATTTTCACTGTATTTTCTCGACATTAGAAGAGGAAAACAAACCAGAACTGAATACAACCATCTGTTAAATAACAGAGAAAAAAACAGCACCATCTCAAATAGTATGTTTTTGTAAAGATAAAGAACAGATAGATTGTTACCTTTAAATCTTTTCTGTTCATCTTTTGCCATTTTTACAGCTAATGCCAGTCCAATTCCTGAGGAGCAACCTGTAATGAGGACATTTCTTCTTGCCATTCTCTTCACTGAGTGGTTCAATTCTTCACAGGAGCAACAATATAAATGTAACTACAGCATAATGTGACTGGCCTTTAATACTATCTGCACCTTCCCTGAGTCAACAAATCTGAAAATGCATACCTGGACCTTGCATGATTAAGGGATAATCTCCAACTAAACAAAACAGAAGCAGATGCTCCTACATGTGTTTATAATCTGCATTATCAAAACTGATCAATACAGAATTTGATTAATCTATAATCTGAGGCACTTGTAAACTACATGGATTGTTTTTAATAGAATAACCAGCTTGCACAGTGCTAGCAGGAAAAGCCTTTTCCACAATTACCATTGCTCTGTAGTGCTAAGTTCTCCACTCACATCTATGGAAAGTAAACTGCACCCAGAGTGGGATCCCTCTGCTAAAGCTCTTCAGAATTCCTACACCTACAGCACCTCCTGGTTCTTTTACAACACATTGAGTAACAGATTTCTTCCCTAATGCCTTACTATTGTAAGAGTCTTAACAGGCATTACAGAAAAAAAAACCACCCAAATTGCAAAATGGGATGGGAATTCTGAAGGAGACAAATTGTTGGACAGACTCCTCACATTTCCTTTTGGCAGTGTTCCCAACCAAGAACAGAGAAAGTCAGCAAGCATGCTGCAGTGGAGAACTGACAGGAAACATTGAACAGAGCAGCTTCGCTACATTCTTGCTAAGACTGAAATCTCAACACTTCTGATTCTGCAACTGACATGTCAGAAATTTTAAAAAATAAGAACTGGCCTGATGTCTAAGTTTTGGAGAAAATATTTTACACATAAACTGTGGATTAAAAAGGGGCATTTGGGCTGGCACTTCAGTGCAATTCATGTTTAACATACAGTAACTGTAGGTACACTACATTCAGGAAGAAAATCAGTCCCTTGCTTCTGTCCTGAGTGACAGGAAAAAGAAAGACCTTAATAAGCAATTAGCCTTATGAACAGCATTCAGCTAATTGCAATGCCATTATACCCAGTAAAATGTTTTTCAAGACTCAACAACCCCATGTAAATGCAACCCACTTCAGAAGAATGAACTTAGTGTTCCAGGATTTGCACAGATGTAAACTGGATAGTAACTCAAGAAAAGTAAGACACTACAGAAATATTTAACTGAAATTATGTTTAAAAAAAGTCCATCCTTTCCAAAAGAAATAAATTGGCTTGAACAGTATAGGTGGAATCCTTAACTTCTCAGGCAAGCAACAAAATAGCAAAACATCTAAAGATAAAATATAATTATGATTCTCCTTATTTATCAGGTTTGTCCCACAGTTTAACCAGATAAGTTAGCATACAGACAAAATTTCAATGCAAATGCTATTTAGCTGATTCAGAGATTAGGCAAATTGCTTTTGCTGCTCATGCACATTTATATTTAGTGCATGTAGGAGGAGCAAATGAGGCATTATACAGTGCTAGTTAGTGGAATTCCATTAGTGTTGTGATGCAGCTGTAGTTAAGGACTGGTTATATTTTCCACTTGAAATCCTGGTTTGAAGGGCTTATGTATTCCACTGCTTTAAAAAAATCTGTCAGAAATTTGATGCAATCACTTCTAGGCTGAAGGCAAAGTGATGTGCATAAAGAGAGTTCAAAATAAAAGCAGTTTAATTTGAATTATTGCACCAGTCAACCTAATTCTAAGATTTTCCCTTTACAGTTATGTAGAGAAAGAAATAGCTTGATTTAAAACACACAATATATTTATTTCTGTAAGTAACAGTGGGTTTTGTCACATCATAATTTTCACAATAGCAGAATAAATAATCTGAAACTGCAGAAATACTTTAGATGAGTGCATCTTGACTTATCAGTGGTAGCAGAATGTGTGGCTGGTTTTGCAGAACCACTTAACGTGGAACATGTGGCATTTGTGGAGCGTGTTTGCATAAAGTCAAAGAGCCAGTACTGCCCAAGGAGTTTAGCAAACTGCCTCTTGCAGAGTTTCTGGATACCTCAGATAGGTTTGTTGGCTAAGACACACTTTGAATAGACAAAGCACTTAACTGAGGCCTGGTATTCAAACTGAAACACATTCAATTCTTTTCCTCTTCTTTACGTCAAATAACTTTAGTAACTTGATTTCTGAAGTACAAATCACATGTCTTAATGCACATAAATCATGTGTGCATTAATCAGACTGATGCCTCAAAAGCATATTTGCTGATAAAAGTGGGGCCACTAGCCATTCATACCAGCTTAAGTGTGTAATACTTTTGGAAACCTGGAAATAAATATGTTTTAGAATGCATAGTAATGATGTGAATTTAATCAATCAGAATTTTTGTATGAATTTTTGTTTGATTAAAAATATCAAAAGAAACTACCTCAAGCTTTATGGCCCTGTCCCACAACCCTGTGTATCTTAAAGATACTGCTTGGAGTAAAGCAAGCAGGTTTTGCCACTGTCTGTGATCAAATCAGTGTCCCAAAACATCTTACAAACAGGTAAATTTTAATAATATGTTGTGTCTGCAGCACTGCATTTGTACAAAACAAGATAAAATTGTCCCAAACAAAAATTTCTAATAAGGTAGTACCATTGTGCTTTTAGTTAGAAGTGAGATATTAAACAAGCACATAATTTAAAAACCTTTGAAAAAGATGACAGCTCAAACTAATCCCCACAACTTAAAATAAATTGTTTTATTCTGAAGTATAAAAGATAAATTAATATGTTTTCATACGAAGGCAATAATCTCAATAACAGTTGGGAAAATAAAAAGGTTGTGATCTGCTTCAGCACAAATAACTGCATGCCTTATTTAGAAGCACAACTTTAAAACGTCCTCTTGGAATGCACAGTGACGATGGCAGCAGAGGCATCCCTGGGTTGCTGCTGGTCCAATGGGCAGCAGCAGTGATTCCTTCACAGTTCTTGCATCTGAAACAAAATACGTGATGACCGTGTCTAAATCCGTTTGTACCAACATGTTACTTTTTCATATTAAACTTTACCTTACAAACTCAAGAAAACTAACAGCAGGTCTCAAGTCCATGGCTGCCATCTCAAATTCTGATTTATGTTATTAATGCATTTTTGTTCATTGTTCTTGTAACTGAAGAGCATTTGCTTTCTCCAAGAGCACAACTTACAAATTTTCCAATACCATATTAAGTTCCAGCAGATAAGAAGGAAAACATTAGGTAGAACAGTTTTGAGAAGAAATCTTCATATGCAAATCCTTGTAAAAACTTTGTACAGCTTAAATGAACACTGTCTTTTGAAATAACTCCTCTGCATGAGGCTTAAGGTTTCATGTAGGATCGCATTGTTGTTCTTAAGTTACTAACAGTTCAGGAAGTGTCTGTAGAAACCCCATCAACAGTTTAAGGTATCAAGAGGAAAAAAGCCTATGATGTCCACCAACACCAAGAGAGAAAAAGAGCAAAAGAAATGGAAGCTGTGTGCAGAAGTCAATGCAGCCAAACACAGCATGTTTGAGGTTAGGTGTTTTTTGTAAGTTTCTAGAGCTTTACTATCCCTACCCATCTTTTTAAAAACAAGTGAATATGCTGGATCTAATTATTCATTTATATAAAAAATTGAGTTTTAGTCTCTTTAGGATATATGCACAGCAGCCATGTTTACGTTAGCTAGTGCTGGAACACAAGAGACTCTATCAGCCACTACTGTTTGTCATCATATTATACTAAGGTTCCTGTAACTCGTAAATTTAAAAAGAGATTATGTTGGTTCTCTGTTTATCTATCCATGCTTAGCTAGGTGCTTACTCTTTATGAGGAATGCTATACATAGTGTACACAAACACTTGTAAGTAGCATATAAACAGCTTACAGCTAACAAATGAAAGATTACAGTAATTCCTAATTTTTCATGCTATGCACAGTTTTTCAAAAATGTTGTAAAAATCTCTTTTTAAAAAAGTCAATCATTGCAAGCACTAATTTTTTCTTACTTCACTTCATTTTAATACAATTTAACTTCTCATTTCAGAAGGAAATATGGCCACAAAACTTAGTTTGCTGTAAATCCAATCTGCCTTTTTTTTAATAAAGAAAATTACTTCAATTTCCCAGAAAAATGAAAAAAGCTATTCTTAGTGTTCAGCAAGATATTTTCAGTTCCTTTATTTGGAATATTTACAGCTTCTAAGGGTAGCCGAGTGCTGCATTGTTACAAAATCTTCACTGCAGATTGAAGCACAGTAAGAACAAAGAATGATTCAACTGAATACTCTGTGACCTGGTTATTTTATGAGTCCCAAAGGGACAGAGTGGACCAGAACACAAATCAACCCTCCCAGCAATTCCTTCCCTGAACTAATATATTTTCTGTAATAAGCAAGGAAGGCAATGTATTAAGAAGAAAAAGAATGAGACAGACTGTACCCCTGGGCAAGACATACACACTGCCTCTCCACCCCTTTTCCCTAAATAGATTAGGCAATTTATTTTTTAGAACTAGGACAGAAAATTTCTGTGGAAGTCTGGTAAACCAGTCTGCAATGTGTTACTAATGGAGAAAGTGTTTTCTTACGTTATGTTAATATACTTAATTTTTAAACAAAGAAGGAACCATATAATATTCTAAATATTATATTCTAAATGGAGCCAGAAGCCCTCTGCAACATATTTCATGGTTTGCACAGAATACTTCTAAAATCCAGTGGTTTTTTTACCTACTTCACTACAATGAAAATAAAATTTCATTTCCTTATCCCAAGTCTTGGAAGGAATATGACCAGAGCCGGTCTATTTTCAAAGCCTTTCTTATATTGTTCTTAGGCCTCTTTAAACCTGGTATTCCTTAGCAAAACCAATACAATTTGTCTGGAAAGAAAGAGTCTAGTCAGCAATTACACAGGGGCTAGCTAGAGATGCTTTCTTTCAGAATCATCCCTTAAGAAAAGTTAGAAATTATTAATGGTATGTGTGAAAGGTAGCAGCAGTCACTGTCCTGTTCTTGAGCATCATCAATAACCTAACAGAATTCAAGATGGAAGAGCTGACATTGCTTTAATTTGCAGTGAAACAACCTTCACATTCAGCTGTGACACAGCCAAGCCCTCATGATCTAGAATGCAGACCAAAGGTCTTTGGTGTTCACACAGAAATGAGGCTTCTCTGATGCCTCACCCTAGGGAAAACAAACACATAAATTCAGCATAACCCAAGTGGCAGAGCCCATCTTGGCTTTGGTGTTCTACCCTAGCTTGGAATCATCCTTGAATGAACTTATTTCTGCAGAAAGCATGTTTATCTCAGCCCCCATTTGTACTTGTGGAGACCGATTCATGCACCAAACCAAAGATTTGTATAATTCACAAATCAGCTGTCTTCTTGAGTCCCTCCACACACTCCCATTCACTAGGCCAAAAAATTCTCACTTCTCCTTCCTACCAGCATGCTAGAGCTTCGTGGTCTTTGATGCAATCATTTTCATAAGACAGGTCCTAAGTCATAAGAAGCTCTCATCATAAAGCATATTGCTTTGTTTCCTTTCAAGGAAGACCATATCATCCATAGCCAGAAAATCATGTCCCTAAAGATAATCAGTAACCAAATTTCTCCCCAGAAAGCAGACAATTGAGAGTTTGCCATAAAATCTGTAATTTTCAAGTAATTAAACTTAGGGGATATAGAATACAATGATTCTGGGAAACACTTACACTAAAGAGACACCATATAATTTCTTCTAGGCAGTACAGTAATGGCATTAAAAATTGATAATTTGTTGTCTATCCAAGGTATGTTTTACCTTTCCAAGAGCTTCTAGGCTATGCTGGTTTGTTTAATTCTTTTTTTCTTCAGCTGATTTATTTCCTGATCTCTCTGGAGCAATTCAAACTCTTTTTCACGAAGCTCATCTTTAGAATGCTGGAGTTTCTTCTCTAAGCTCTCAATCTGAACAGGAAATGCAATTAAATCAGAACCAATATTTTACCAAAGTCAGAACAATTCTATTAAAAAAAACCCCAAACCCACAAAACAAACAAAACTCCCAAATATTGTCAGTATTGACTGTGACTTTGGATTCCTCTGTCAATTTTTTATTTTGTCTACATTTTCCTTTACTAAAAGAGAAGTTTGGGAGCCATATTATATCAAGTGAAAAATCGGTTTTCATTTTTGAACTGTTATAGCCTTACAAAATTTATAGTTTTAATTGACAAACATCTATTTTTACTGGTACATTCCTTCCCTCTCCCTACAATAAAAAGAGGTTTTATCTTCTAGATTAAATCTGGCCAGCTATTATGTCCCAGGATCAGACTCTCTCACAGAATTAGCTGTCCTTTGTTAGGGAAACTGTGTTTTTGACTAAGAAGAGTTACCTGTTTATTGCATTCCTTAATTTCCAACTCTGACTTCTCTAAATTACACTGTAATTGAATTATTTGTTGCTCCATTTCTCCCTTATGCTCACGAACTGTCATATCTAATTGTGTAATCTAGAGGTAAAAAAGGAGGAAAAATAAATATTTTATTTTGAACTAATATGCAGATTTTAAAAAGCCATATTACAAACTGTGAGAACAAAGTGAATGAAATTAATCCTTTGTAGCCTCAAGAGTATTCTCTTGAGTACTCAATATAAAGCTACACCCTTGCTATTTCATTTAAATAGTGGCTAAACATAAAAAGAAAAGGGGCAAATTGGGAAAAAGTCCATAACTGAATATGTTAGGTCCTCGTATGTATATAATACAAGCCTAGTTATCCTTTTCAAAGAAATATGAATTTATGTATTGTTTATTGTACTAATCCACCTTGTCAGGAAGTGCCAATTTTTGCCAAAGCAAAAAAATTCAGTTCATCAAATGCTTTGATGACTTCCTGGGGCAGTTCACAGGGTACTGTGGCAAAAATACATTGCAAGATCTGGCCTCCTTAAGGTGTCACTTCTTGGAACAGACTTATTCAAATCCCCACTCCTTCTCTCTGAACCTCAAATATGCTTGAAGACAAAGGCTGGTAACTCCTTCAGGAAGAGGCTTATAATAAAGTGACAGAAGAAGAATTTTCCCATCATGGGCATCAAATCCTGAAGCCAGACCAAAAGTCTGAAAATATTTCAAGTGAGCTACAGAAATTTATTCACAACCAAGATACCATTTCATATTTAGAGGTTGCTTTAATGTGGATCAAATAAGCTCCAGTGCAAACAAGAACAGGAATCTATCGTCTCCAAGCACCCTTCAGCACAGATCTTTCCTTCCTCTTAGCAAACAGTTGCCCCATAACTTTATCACTAATGAAGAATTTTGGCAGAGGTTATGGCATAAGGCTTCTGATTTCCCTGGTACATAAGGCTTCAACAACATAGAGCTGGTTTGAGGTTGGCACTGTGGCTGTAGGAACCAGTACACTTTGAGACAACACATCAAACAACCAAACCTAGCAGGCCTAACCTGACTTTTCATAACTTGCCTGCTATATAACAGGAATAATTGTCAGTAACCTGCTTAAAAATTATCTCACCTGAGCTACTCTTTGTTTTAGTTCCCAATTCCTTTCTTTCAGTGCTTGGTCCATGTCAAGGAGTTCCTGCTTTTTGTCTTCAATTTCATCCTTGCAATACCTGAAATTCTCATACATTTAATTGCTTAATGCACTTTCTGTTGCTTAGCTTCAAATATCCAGCTTGAAAATCATGAGATCTATTACTTACTTACAGCATATTACCCTAAAGGTGAATTGATTGCAAGGAAACAAATCCAATTAGAATAATTCTGTTAATTATATTCCATGTGGGGAATTCCTAGTAACTTCATTTTTCAAGTTATTTAATTGGCTATATCAGGATTCTTCAAAAAAGAAAGTATCATTAATTTGTGGTCAGAAAGGAAACTGGACAATTTGACTATTTTTATGATTGCTTCATAGCTTTAAGATTCTGAAAATAATTTCAACAGATTTTAAAACAGAATTCCCCAAAAAGAATTCAGCACCACTTTTAGAAATTAAAAATGAGCCAAGGATCTCAAGTATCAAGATATCTGATGGCCCCAAACCACCTCAAAATTATAGAGAGCTGTTAAGAACATTAAAAAACCCCATCCAAACTACTTGCTCTTCTTAAGGAATAACCAACATGACTAAGTTGTCCTGACAGAAAAGACAGCAGCTCACCTGAGCTCAGTTGTTAGATCCATGATAGCAATGTTCTTCTCCTCCAGAGAGGACTGTGCATTCTGCAATGCATCTTGCAACTCCTGAAGCTGTTTTGAAGTGATCTTTAATTCTCCCCAGGCACTCTGTAATGCAGATTCCAGTTCTGCTATTTTCTGTAAGGCGTTCCTGTGGCAAGTCTCACTTCGAAGCAGCTTATCTTCAAAATCATTCACTATTTTACACACACAGCACAAAAGAGAATGTTTAATCATCAGTACATCAGGGTCTTCATGCAACACCACTACCTAGTAGCACCTGTGGTCATAATACATTTTCAGTATCACTATTTTTTAGGACAATCTGGAAAAACAGTGACTACTTATACAAAAAAAAAATTATGGTACCTAAGTATTTGCTAGTTTTATTCAGTTCATAATCAACAATTGACCTGAAACATAAGGATATACCTATGGCCAAGGAGACAGTACAGACACAGTATAGTAACTGACCAAGCAGTGCTAGGGATAGTGCAAGCAGAATTACTGCTATTTCTCTGGCTGAAAACAATGGTCCAATTAAACTAGATGGAAGATGATGGATTGGAATGTTATTTCCATAAACTTGTGGGGTTTTCTGTTTGTTTCAAAGAGCTGCATTTTTTGAATAGCATATGCCTTTACTAAAGCTAAGTGTCTCATTTGACTATTACATTAAGAATCTGCATTACCAATTTACAGGGAAACTACTTAGTATTTCACATGGGGAGAAGGTATATACCACAAAAGTGAGAATTTGCAAAAGTATGCGAAAAGTATTTGTGATTTTTTTGGGTTGTGGGGGTGTTGTTCCTTTGGGTTAGGTTTTGTTTGGGTTTAAAAAGATTATGAGTTTTTGACCCTCATGTACTTGATTTTGAAAGGGGGGGAAGGAAAAATGTCTAATACATACAGAGGAATAGTTTAACAAAAGGAAGCCTGAGAAACAAAATAGCCAAATTACCCTCATTTGCCTTTCTATTGAGCTCTGATCTTGCTTCTTCCAGAGTGATATTCAAATGATTTATCTGCAGTGCTTTGTTTGCACCATCTCGTTTTAATTGCACCACTTCTTTTTCCATGCCAGTAAGTTCATTCTTGCACTGATCCATCTCCAATTGAATCTGTCTAAGACAGGCAACAGAACAAAATGAACCAAGGAGTAACAAGAGCAACATGCTATAAGACAAGTGTTTGTGAATAGAATAGAAATAAAAGTCATGTTAAGTAGGCTTTTCTTATAATCAAAACTATATTCTTTAAGATTAGCAAGCTCCTGCAGAATGTACTATGTACAATTACAAGCAAGCTGGTTATGATTTGAACTGCTTTATGAAGTGCTATCTTAAGGCTAAGTAGGTTGCCAGGACATGCATTAGTTGCATTGGAAAGCTGTTCCAGTCATGCCCCTGCTAGTCAGAGCTTCCCTTCTGATTTGCAGTCTGTGCTCACAGAGACTGAAGCGCAAGGCCCCAGCTGAACACCATTTCAGACAGCAAGCGTTCTGATCCATGTGGCCCCGTGCAGAATGCACCCCTCATTTATCCTGAACCTACCTGATTGTACAATTCAGTTCAGCCACCTTCTGTCTGTTTGAATCTGCTTCCTGAGCAGCTAGGCACAGTTTCTCCTCCACCTTTCTCAACTCATCTTCTGCACATGCTTTCTGCTTCTGAAGCTCTTTTTCCAAATCGGATACCTATTGAAAATGGCTTTTAAAGAGTAGTTTCAAATTGCATACCAAAGAGATACACATTCTTGTCTTGCAACTCATCTAGGGAGAGCTTTTACACAACAGATTTCTTTATAGCCTGTATGTAATTTAAAACTAAAACTCTGCACATTTGAAAGACAAATAGTTTCTAGAAAATGTAACAAGATACAACTTTCTGAATTCAAGTGCACCTCTACTTAACTGCAGTCTAGGGTTTGATTTTCCAGGTACCTAGTCACTCTAATATAACTAGAATTTTTGATAGCTCAGAAACTGGATTAAGACAAAATAAGCCACTAAACTCTTTATTTTAGATATATTAAATAATAAATATCAACTCAGTTATCAAAGAAATATTCCGATTTTAGAGGTATTATGAAAACATACATAAGGCATTTAATTTTCCCTATACATGTAGACACTTCTCACCATACTGTACCTGTTTTTCAAGTTTAATTTGATTATCTTCCAACTCCCCATTTCTAATAGTTTCTTGCTGTAACATTTGTTGCTGATGATGCAAAGTTTGTTGCAGGAGAATATTTTGTTCACTCATGTCCTGAATAGTCTGACCTTTAATTTTGATTTCTTTCTGTAAATAATGAAGCTGAAAAGACATTTATTTTCCATTACAATAAAATATATTTCTTTGCAGTTGCTTCAGCTATTCTCTCTTAATGAACACAGAATCACACTTGTGATGCAATAAAACTTTTGGGTCTGAATTTAGTTGCATTACAGTTTCAACAGTACATAACAGATCTCATAATTCATCACTGTATTATGCTCTATTCACCAAGGAAAATAGTAACTTCTCAGTCAGTCCCAGGTATAGAACTTGTCAATATTTTAAAACCATGCATAGCAGATTTTTAGTTAGAACTACTTTTCTTTCTGCCAGTCTTCGTTATTTCACAGAAAGTCCTTGCTTTCCCCTTGAGATTTTGTTCTCAGGCCTCCCCTTTATTTCTTTTGCCTGTATTACAATAGTCATTCCAATTAAAAAAAGAATTTTGAGTGCCTAACTTGTTTTATGTTGACTAATCTGGTTTCTCAGTGGTGAATGCCAGAGGGAACTGTTCTGGGGAACAGGGAAAAAAAAAAAAAAAAAAAGGGGGAGTGTTGTTTAAAAAAAAAGCCTCGCTTGCTACATTTGATGTTTCACACAGGATCCAGTCCCTTCATATGCAGTATAGCAACAGCAGGGTTTAGGGCTTAGGAAGCAGCAGCAAATATCACAGGTTTATGTGTGACACAGACCACACAACTTCCACCAAGCTAATCCTGTACAGGGTCCAGCAACCTGCACTTGACTAAAGCCTCTCAGCAGGTAGGCCAGCACTGACATGATCAGCCTGCTATATAATTAGATCACCCACAAATAAAAATTCCTTCTCATATTTCAAGTTATGTTGACTAATCTGGTTTCTCAGTGGTGAATGCCAGAGGGAACTGTTCTGGGGAACAGGGGGAAAAAAAAAAAAAAGAAAAAAAAAAAAGGAGTGTTGTTTAAAAAAAAAAGCCTTGCTTGCTACATTTGATGTTTCACACAGGATCCAGTCCCTTCATATGCAGTATAGCAACAGCAGGGTTTAGGGCTTAGGAAGCAGCAGCAAATATCACAGGTTTATGTGTGACACAGACCACACAACTTCCACCAAGCTAATCCTGTACAGGGTCCAGCAACCTGCACTTGACTAAAGCCTCTCAGCAGGTAGGCCAGCACTGACATGATCAGCCTGCTATATAATTAGATCACCCACAAATAAAAATTCCTTCTCATATTTCAAGTTAACTCTTTCTTGCTTTCAAGTAGTAGTGGAAAGTATGATAAAACTCAGGGTCCAGAAGTAAACATTTTTTTATGCCCAGGACTTCTTCCCCATTAAGACAGTTGAAAAACAGATCAATTTTGTGCACTTAAATTTATACTACAATAGTGCTCTCTCCCATTTTTCCATGGTAATGTTTTGTTTCACATTATTCTGATTTTGTTACCTCTTTCAACAATTCATTTATCTTAGTGCTTCTTTTCCCTTAATTTAGCCCGTGTTTTTGAGTTATGATTTTCCCCCTTACCCTCACAAAATGTATCATTTTTTCCCAGCTTACTTCCCATCCACAGGTCCTGCTGCAAATTTTGGCTATCATTTCACAAACTTTTAGATTAAATCAATCATAACAACAGTTCTCTGCAATACAGAAGAGTTTTTAAACAACCTGTTACCTCTTCAGACCTTTCTTTCAGCTGATTTTCAAACATCTCCTTATTTTCTTGTGACTGACTCAAATACAGTGCAACTTCTTCCTTACATACATTTAGTGCTGACTCAAGTTGTCGTACCTAGGTGAATGCAATAGATTATTTAAAATTGCATGGCATGGTTTGTATTAACTGGTCTAAAAATTGTATTAAAGACAGCTTTGTGTAAAACATCAGAAAAGCTACATTTTTATCATATGAGTATTAAAACAGTCATGGAAGATTATAGTAAACTTTAAAACTGAAATAGTCTTCAAAAATTAAAATTATTTGTGAAATTCAAAATAATTTAGACTGTGTTTATATCAGATGAAACTATCAGTTATGGGAAGATATGCCAGCATTTGTCAGTAGCTAGAATTTAAAAGCAAACATAGGGTCAATACCAAATCATTAATCCATCATGTTTCATTACATATAGAACTGCATAAATAAATTTGGAATTACCATCTTAGGTGAGTTCGCACACGTGTTTTTTTTTTAAAAACCACTCAGATCTATTACCTACAATTCTTTTCAAAAAGTTACCAAGCAGCATGATTTCCCCTCCTGCACTGGGGGACAGTGCCTGCGTTTCACCAAATGGGAAAGGAAGAGCTTTGAGCAGTGTCAACACTGTCAATTTTACACTTTCAATGCTCATTTGGGTTTGAGTAATCTCTTACAAATACCTTATAACCTTGAACTGATAAAAATTATAACAAACAAACCCTGAGATCTTAAGGCATAATAATTAAACTTTTCTTAAACATTTGGTTTCAATACTAGGATTTCTCATCAGTGAGAATTGTGCTGAGTTTAGCTGCAGAATGTCTAATTCTTTCAATTTTGCCAGCTTTCTAAACTATACTGGACTTTCTGTCTCTGTCCCCAGCTGATTCAAGAGCTTTTTGAAGAGAAATTACTATGTGTCTTAAAATTAAGTCTCTGGAAACAATCCCAAATACTGCAAAGCCACTTGGACAGCAAATTGGTCCTACACAAGCTCAGAAAAGCCAAGTCCCCAGTATCTTCACTGGTATCCTGAGGATTTAATACTTGACTGGGGAAAATGTGCACATTGCATTGGTTTATGTTACAAGTGTTGCATGGAAAATGTTTATCAGGCAAACACTAGGAAGAACTAGAGATGGCTAAAAACATGACTAACAGCATCACAGTATCACACATGTCTAAAATACATGCCATATGCAGACCAAAAGCATATATAACACATTAGCTCTATGAGACAATGCTGGACTTTAGGAGTACAATAAGCACAAGTTTGCCCTATTTGTAACTACAGTAATTGCATTAAGCAATTATGCATTGCATCATCTCTTACTGTAGGTTTCATCATACTTCTTTTAATTGAACAAAGAAAAAAATGAAACAACAGATAAAAAATAAATACTTCAAACAAATAACTTCTGGAATATTTACTTAAGAGTAATTTCTATAAAACAGTTTTCTATAAAAGATAAAAGGAAATACACTGTTACTGCAAACTTTAAAACTATTACTTGAACATTACAGAGAGTTCACTAACTTTGATTTTTTCTTCTGTTAACTGACTTTCCAGCATCTTCAATCCTTGCTCTTTCTTGACATTTTGATTTTCCATTTCCTGTTTTTATAGACATTTTTATTCAAGAGAACCAAAGATAAATATTACATAACATTAATCTAATGTTATAAAGTTATAAATAATTTAATAAAAACTCATAATCAGGAAAAAAACGTAGATCAGTGTATCCAAAACACAATTGCTTGTATAATGTATTTGTGTGCATGACACTCTGAAGTGAATTTGGTTGCTGAGAGATGCCTCTTCATATTCTGCAGCAGCAGGCATTATCAAAAGGAATAAAACATTATCATATTAGAAATTATTGGTTTTCCACCTAGTGCAGGATTGATGCAATCATTCTTTATCCAGATCTCTTTGCTTTCATTAGAGAGAGAAGCCCAAGGGGCAATCCAGAGGCATAAAGAAAATGCTAAGACAGAAAATACTGAAAGGTCATTAAAATTTGTACAATATATAGTAGTAGTAGTAATTGGTGACTACACTAGATTCAGCCAATTGCTCAAACAAGAATTAAGAAGCAAAAACAAACATCTTTCATTTTCCCAACTTTTTCCGTGTATTTATGGATATGCTTTCCATTATTTTTGGTCACTTGCTTGATTTGCATTTAAAGAAAGTCAAGAGCCAGCCTTACCTCTCTGTTTCCTATTAGCAGCCCATCCAATGATTCGATGTGATGCTGTTTATGTATAACCTCTTGTTGTAAAATAGATATTATTTTATCTTGTTCAATGACTTGTTGATGTTTCTTCTCCAGCTGTGTCCGAAGCTGTCCGTAAGTAAATAGTCATTTATTATTTTAATAAAAGTGTATTCATGGAAATATGCGATTCAGTTCTGTTCACCCATCATTTTTATAATGAAAATTAAATACATTACTGCCATCAGCAGTATTGCACAGTCTTAAAATTATCAAGAAATCCCAAGCACTTAAGATCTTAATTCCAGGGGAGAATGAGGGCAGAGAGAGTGTAATTGTCTGTCACCACCAACACAATAAGACTTGCATACATTCTTTACTAAAAGATGAGAAGCTTCTTAAACAGCTAGAAATAATCACAGTTATATTTCTAACCACATGGAGAAACATTTCTTCTCTAGAGACTGAAAACCCCCTGAATGCAGATGCTGATAAGGCTCAGTTTGGCAGAGGTTCAGGCAATGAGAACATTTTTAGAAGCTGTCATGCTTTAAACCCAGTAGGTACTAAAGCTATACTTGTTTTTTATTGTGTGTTTGGAGCAAAAAACATCAGAACTCAGGTTCCTAAGTCCTTATTTCTCTTCAGATGAGCAGGATATGAATATTTCAGAGGGAAAGTTGTATAGCTAGTTAGATGGAAGATGTAGTAAAATCAGGGAATGTAGGGAGAAGAAAGAGCTTTTTAACATAACATTTTAAGGGAGGTGTCTCAAAATTACAAGACAAACCAATATAGGAAAAAGTTACCAAGTATAACACTCGTACATACTACCACACCATAAAGGTCTTACTAGGTCAATCTGTTTCTCCATTTCTTTGTGCTGCTCGAGGTGAAGCAACTTTTCATTTTCAAAAGCAGAAGTTATTTTCTCATGTTCTTCACTGATAGTTGTTTCCAGCTCATGAATGCATCTGTTTTTTCCCTGGGAAGTGGCAACAATAAAAGGACTTAATAAAAACATTTCGCTGTGATAATAAACAGTTTTATTTGAACATCTGGTTTCTAGATTTCATAAAGGAACAACAAACAAAATTCTGAGGTTCCACAGAGCATGTGTCATCTCAAAGGATGTCACACTTATACCACAGGTATAGAATGTCAGTAAATGCAGCCACTACAGAGACAAGGTGTCTGCCAAGATGGATTATGGTACAGCTAACTCCTGACAAAGACAAAAACAAATCCTATGTTCATATGGATAGATGGGATCTTTAAAATACCATTTTGAAGACTCATTAATTTACAAATCTACATGTATGTCACTGAAACAAATGGCAATTCAACAGGGCCAGATCTTCATGTGACCACAAGGAAAACGTAACATGTTCATTAATAACTTGCCACATTCAAGGGCAGGGAAAAAAGGATGTTCAAACAAGATTCTGTTTTTAAAACTTGTGTTCCTAAAATCTGCTCAGATTTTTTAGCAGATCTGAAAGTCCACATATTCTGAATACAGGGAATACTACTGCCAAGTTACTTTTATGTCTTTTTAAGTAAATGTGGTTTCTCACTGAGAACATTTTACCATGAGTTCCAGTTCCAACTCAACATTTCTTTCTGCAGCAGTGGAATAAGCAATAGTCTTTTCTTCCAACTGTTTCTCAAGTGCAGAAAGCTGAGAAGACTTCTTTCTTATCTGAAATGAAATATAGCACAAAACAGCATGCAGACAACTGTTTCAGTTTTATTCAAATATTTGTATGCACTTTCTTATCACCAATTCTATTTTAGCTACTACTATAGTATTTTCAATAAATTATGGTTTGGTTGATTTTGTTGAACTATTCTATTTTATTCCTTACAAACAAAGATTCAGGTCAATTTACTTACAATTTATCCAATTAATTATCAGTGAATTGCTTTACATATTTATAACATTTACATTCATTATTAGGAAATAACTGCAAAGTCCATTATGCTGAACTTTATAAACACCTTAGCACCAGAATGCAAACATTAGCAATTTAATTTATTCACCCTGAGAAAAGCTGAAGCTTAAATTTTTTTTGTGACTCCCTGGTAATGATGTTCATCTCTGAACAATTAACATAACAATTAATGAAGAAAAATACAACTGTTCCTTCAATCTGTTTCCTAGGGTTAGCCATTAATTCAACCACACCAAAGCAACAAGACTCTGGTGTGCATATTTTCCACATAACAAATCAAAGTAGTAGCAGAAAATCCTACTACTTTAAAACAGTATTTCTGACAACTAACAAATTAAAGTTGGTAAGTCTTTCTGCTTGCTTAAAAGCTTAGTTTGAATTTTTGTCAAATTAGTCAGATTTTTAAATTATGATGGCAGTTGCAGTTCTTCCATAACTATTGTCTTCACTACCTTTGATTACTGAACTGAAGAAAAAGTGGCATATTCTTTTCAGTGCTATTTAAACTTACTTCTCTCTCTAAGCTATTTGTTTTTGAAGCCTTCTTCAATAGGTCCTCCTGTATGATCTGAAACTGACTGGTTCTTTGAGCCATGCTGGTCCTCAAGGCAGAATTCTCATCATCTGCTTTTATCAGTTTAGTGCGTAGCTCTTCTATCTCTTTCTGGAATTTTTGCCTCATCTTTTCAAACTGTTTGCTTATAAGTTCCAACTGTTGACATTTTCTCCTCTCTCAAAGTAGAAAAAATAAATGTAAGATTAATTTATAAAAGAACATGCAAACCCATAATGTAACTGAATCCAGTGACTCAGAAAAACAAACAAAAATCCCAACAAAACCCCAAGAAACAAGCAAAATAAAGACAGCATCATCATATAGGTGCCCTGACAATTTCATGGAGCAGTCCTAACAGTAATGACAGAAGCAATCAGAAAACACAAACAGCAGGATACAGAGAAAAGAGTCAACAAAAACACAGAGACTTTAGCACCATCTGCCTAAAGAAAAAAATACATGGTTCCATTTCAACACAACTCCTAGCTCAGCTATTGCTGAACAAAGCAGCCAAAGAAAGAAATATATTGTGTTTGGAGAACATGAAGGTGGCAAAATGTTCCCCGTTCAAACAAAGCATACATGCTGTAAAACCAACCTGAACCCTTGCAGAACATTTCTGTTCTGTGGATTAATTAGACAGAACTGCACAGCTATTTCAGCAAGCTTACCTCCTGGATTTCTGATCAATCTGACAGGCTCTGTTTCCAGGTCACATAACCTGCTGTTTCCTTGTCCTTCATTACTCTTAGAAAGATGCTCAGCTCCAGTACAGATAGTTAAGTTTGCACCAGGCTTTTGAATTTCTGCTTCTTTCATTGCCAGTTTAATGCTAGTATAAAGGAGACAGCTATTTAACATTCTTTCTGCATGTTAATTCTAATAGCACCTTATTATCTGCCTAATATTGCCAGAGTTCAGTAACCAGAAAGTTATACCTTAGGTCTGCAATCAAAGATTTTCTTGATTCACCACAAGATTCAGAGGGGGCTTCTTTTGCTGAGGAACTCAATAGCTGGTGTTTGAAATCGTGCCATTTAAACTAAAAGTTAAGAGAAAACAAAGATCAATGAAAAATCAACCTTTTATTGCGTCACAGCATCTTTAATTCATGTGTTATACTGGCATATACATTTTAAGACACATATACCAGGATATTAAAAGTTTGGATAACTCAATCCTTAAAATTATTCAAAACATAATACACTGTGAAGACTATATCAGTTACTCTACCTCTTCAGATGTGCTTAAAGACAATTGAGAAATAATCATTTCTAGTATGCTGAGCTCTTCCCTTGAATCCTCTATTTCTTGATGACATAATTTCAAGTGGTTCTGTTGCTCTGCAGTAAGTGCTCTCAGCTCTTCATTTTCACTTATTAGAGCATTTTTCTCTTTAAGTACTACTTCTTTTTCAGAAAGTTCACTCTTAAGCTTGATGATCTCCTGATCAGACTGACTCAGCATTGATGTAATTTCAGTGTTCTTTGCCTCTAGAGCTTTAATTTCTTCTTTTGTGTTGTGATTCTCTTCCTTTAACTGTCTAAAAAGATATTTAAAAGGTATTTTCAGTACTAGAGGCAGAGACTTACTGAGGAGACTCAAGCTAGGGTAAAGGTGTTCATATACTGCCCACTCTTGCCAAAATGGCCTAAAGAGCAACAATTAAGACAGGAATGTAAGTGTGGACAAAGCATGCAAATTGAATAACCCCAAAATGTCTTTGCAGGTGTTTGTCCAAACCTAACAATTCTAAAGACGATCAGCTGATGGTTGTCTTCCTTCATTAAAGCAATGAGGGAATTACCAAAGAACTTCTGAAAAAGAGGGGGCTTCAGCTTGAAATGAAACATTCCCCACCAGATGCCAAGAGCATTCCTCATTGCAGCTAGGGACTGCCAAGGGGCCAGGGGTGGCAGTGCAGGGCACTGCTCACAGCAGCAGCTGGGGCAGAGCACAGGGGACAGCAAAGCAGAGCAGCCAGCCAGCCTGGGAACAGTGCCCCAGAAGGCTTGGGGGGGCTTCTTCCTGGGAATGGGGGGCAGCACGTGGGATTAAAGGGTTTAAAAATTACTTACAGAAAGTGAGTAGGAATGTATTGAACTATATGAATTGAGCAGAACATCCACAGTGACAGCTGCAACATGCAAGTTCTTGCAAAAACACTGTGCAGAGAATTTTTAAAAGCCTTTATGTTACCTTAGTTGCTCTTCTAGGATGTCTAGATCCTTCCTGTAGCTGATACACTCATCATTCAACTTCTCTTTTTCTTTTTCACAATTAACTAAACGTTCTCCCAAGACTACTTCTTCAGCTTCAGCCTTAAAAAGCAATTTTTTTTTCATTACTGTACAGCAATAAACCAAGCTTCCATGTCAAGAGGCTATTTTAAAAATAATATTATGCTCTTTCTGGTAAGTCAACAGACAATACTATTGCTCACTATTGTGAAGAGAAGGAGAGAGGCAAAGAAACTTTCTTTTTCTGTCATTTAGGAAAAAAATAGTATTTTAGAGTATATTTGTGATTGGCAGCCTTGTTCCACAAGGAAAGAAGTCTAAAGAACAAAAATCTCTGTAAGAGCTAACTTATTTTCTCCTCCCACAAGGCAGGAACAATTAACAATTCTGATTGTTGGAACTTTGGGAGATGACTTCATTTTCATCTTAGCTCTTCTTCAGCACATTTCACTGAACAGCTTATACATATGGAGGAAAAAGAGCTTTTAAAGGATTTTGTATTTTTAAAATGTAAACTTCCCAGCTGGCAAGCAGAAGACATAAGAAACAGCAGCAGTATTAGGATACTGCAAAGATGCAGACTCCAAAAATCCAGACTGTGCAAAGACAGTGTAAAATTATATAACTGAATTTATCACTACAAACAGTTGCTTACCCTGTCCCACCTCTTTCAGAACTTTGTCACCAAGTGGGAACAATTGACTCACTGATGAACCTGCTGCTATTAGCTGCCTGGCCTATTGGAAGAAACATCTTCACACCATGGCAAATACGAGTGAAGAAACTCCCACCTTTTCTAATTTTTCAGTTATTTCTGCTTTATACTTCATAAAAGCCTTTGTCAGCTCCTCCACATTCAACAAAGCTTCATTTCTTTGCTGTTGTGCTCTGTCAAGCAAAAGATGCAAATCAATTTTAAAACCACGAACTCCAGCCATTAATGTCACTATCTTCTCCAGTTACTAAAAACAACTACTGCAGTAACTGCTCTGGGTACTTCCTTTCTTCTTCCAACTTTCCACGCCCCAGATATCAGACAAGGCTCTGCTCCAAGAAACAACCCCACTGCTTCCCTCTATCACTCCACAGCACTGCCCCCTCCCCTGTCATTGCTCATTAGGGAAGAAGTTGGCAGAGTAACCTCAGCAGAGCTCAGGTGTGCAGTCTCTTCAGGACAGCCAACATGGGCACACAAGAATTCCTGCTGCTCAATGACATTTCCCTCTTCCACTAAGGGGCTGGGGCAGTGCCTCATCTCATACAGCCAGCCCTCAGATTGATGTCTCTCAGTCTGAGGACCAGTGCCCATTTGGAGATGGCAAAAGTGTTCAGAGGAGGGGATAAAAGCATTGCAGAACAACAAAATAGCATTAGTCTAAAGCACTTCAGGTTGCCTGTAAGTTGTTGCAATTAATGATTAAAAGTAAACCATAGTAATTGTTGACACTAACCATAACATCATACTTAACACCTGGCAGAAGCTCAGCTTTTCTGAAGTACAAAAATATTTACATTTATAACTAGTAACTAAGTACAGCTCTGAAGGAGCAGCAATCATAAAGCAAAACATTTCTTCAACTAGCAGCACAAGCCCCACAGTATTTCAGGTTTTCTTGCCATAAGAAGGTTAGAGGTAATTTCATGGGTAGAGGCACAAGTCAAACAAAGAGTTTGCACTTAAAAGGTTCAAGAAATGCTTTCCCAAGCCATTAGTTCAGGTAATTTTTTGCCCCAGGTAATGCAGTTAAATTAATAGGGAAGGTAGGGATCTTTTTATTTATTCCACTCACTTCTTTAAAATTACATTTTGGAGGTGATGGAGTGTTCATAGCAACTTCCAACAGTCAAATTCCCTAACCCTCCCAGCAGTGACAGAGCCACTAGGCTAAAGGAGGCAAGAGGAAAGGGAAATGGGGACTGAGATGGAATTACAGCACCCTTTTCAACAGTATCACGTAGACAAGTAAGATTAAGCATAACATAAAAATGTTCTCTTGATTAAGCTGTTCTTTTATCATTTTCCTCACACCAAGGAATACTGCTGAATACCAGCTGCTGAGTATACACTGCAGGTTCTTGCAAGACAAATAAAAAAATAATTCAGGAGAAATATATTCTGGACACTGAAGCTCTCCACTGCAGTACATCCATTTTGAAGGACAAAAACCAGCTGATAAACTGGGCACTAATGTGTGCTATCAGCCTGCAACAACAGCTGATCTCAAAGATTTTAAACATGCCCATTTAAATAATCAGTACCTTACCACAGAATTTCCCTTTTAAAAAAAAATAACATCCTTAAAACAGAAAAGTAATGTGATCTCACAAAGTAAACCACTGCCAATGGAAATAAACACTTATGCTCTATTATTCTATGCTCCATTTATTAAAATGACTTAATTACCTCTTTCCTTGCTTGCTTTGTTCAATTAACTCAATTTTCAGAATTTTATAGCCCTTTTGATATCTTTCCAACATGTGTTCTCTTTCCATTGCTGTTTTCTGATTTTGATCTAGTCTATCTTCTGCATCTCTAGCAAATAAACAAAGCATAATAAAAAAAATAAGAACTTTTTGTAAAGAAAACATATTCCTGTTGTCCTTTAGTGCATACAACGTTCCAGAAGTGCTAGACAAACATGCTATCACTCTCAAAGCTGGGTTAGGAGCAGCCACAGTCTGCAGACTCCCCAGGAGTGTGTCTGCAGTCTGGAGTGCTATCTAAGACTTATCAGTAGGCACCAGGGGTCACAACAACTGCCAAGGCCCCAGAGAGCTGACCTTGTGTCATGAGCTCTGATCATAGAAATCATATTTTCTCTGCCAAGAGGTGTGACTGGAAAAGAACACTAAAATATACATTTAACATAAGTATTTTTACTTTTTTTTTTGTGAAGACAGACTACTGAGATATTAATTGAATATTCCATAGCAGGAGGTTGTAAGGCAAGTTGACAGCCAGGTATGTCTTCCTGACACCTCTGAACAGCATTTGCATCAGTTTTATTTGGCCATTTGCCTTGATTAATGTATTCATGAAGAAAGAATCCTTTATGTTACAAAGAACACAGTCGTGTTCAGAAACATGTATGCTTGTTACAAGAGAATATACGTGGTTACGTAGCAAACAATCACCCTAGCCAGTTGTAAGGGCACATTCCTATTCAGTACACATTACAAACTGGTTTCTTTCACCAGTCTTTATTATTTTTTTCTCAGTTTCTTGAAGTTCATTCAGCACAAACTAAACCATGTCCTTCCTCCTGTAAATGGCTCTGAAAAGAAAGTTTCAGACCCCAGATTACATGACCCACACAGTATCAGAAATTATGTCATCCCTAAAAAGAGATTGGACTAGCAGAAAGACAACAATAGAATATTGATTTAAAAGTACACATTACTTCAGAATTTTATCTTGAGCTGAAACTTCAGCTTCCAAATTTACAATCTGTTCTTTCAGCTTCGGAATGCTGATTAAATGTGTAGCTAAAGCAGCCTCTAGATATGAAATCTGAAATACAAACATATTTGGGGTTTCATTAACATTTGCATATATACAGGTGAGAAACAGAAGAACAATCTGCTTACTAAATGACAGTGCTCTTAACCCTACTGTAAATTATGTTTGCTCATCTACACCACCTTAACTCCAATTTTCTGCTCATTTAACATTCCTTCCAATTCCAGTGTGATAGTCTGTCTAGCAAAATGATTTCTTTACAGCTTGATCTTGTCTCTTGCTTTTCCCCAGAAGTTTATATCCAACTACTTCTTCTTTTAGTGCCAGGCAAACATTTTGTTTGTCTATTAATTTGTACTGTTTTGGACATAACATTTCTCAAACAAAACCCACTAAGCATAGCCATATATTATTAATATTCTATATAAACCAAATAAAACAACATAGTTGTCCTGAAATAAACAGTTGTCCTGAAATACAGAGAAGTGTAAACTAAATCAGTAATGATCTATTAGATGCAATAGTCCCTTCTAACTCATCTTCACTTTTTTCAAAATAGCAATATTAATCGAACTTGAGAGATGAACTATTTTCATTTCCTAGACAACTGATTACTGTGCCATTATTATTCCCTCTAATCTCTCAGACACATGAAGGGACAGTACTAAAAGCATTACTAAACTATTTTCTTTCACAATGTGTTTTTCATTCTGTGGCTTACTGTCTTTAGACTAAACTTTGGAACATAAGTAGATGGAATTCATAATTAATATAGTTATTTTGCCCATGGAGAAACAGCTGTCCAAGATTTAATATTGATTATTAATATTGATTATGATATATATACTAAATATTAAACTTACACAGATTAAAATAAGACAAAGCCCAGCACATTCTGCTTGGAATTCTAAACTCAAAAATCATGGTCACTGGGTGTCTTGGGGTACACTAAAGATACATACTTTTGTTTTTGCCTGCATCAGTTCAAAGTTCATTGTTTCCACTCTGTTCTTCAGGCAGTGATTCTGAGAAGTCAAAGATGCATTTTGCTCATGAAGGGCATCCAACTGCTCCTGAAGTTGTTCATTTTCTTCCACAGTTTTATTCAAAGTTGTGGATACAGAGTAAGACTAGACATACAAGTATGTTTGTTTATATATATATACACACACACACTTACATAAAAACACATCATAGTGTGAATAACATTGTGGGTTGAAAGGGAACTTTAAAAGTCACTTACTCCAGCCACCTCCCCATGAGCAAGGACACCCTGAAGTAGATCACCTTGCTCAGAGCCCTGAGCAGCCTGACCTTGGGTGTTTCCTGGGAAGGGGGATCTACCACGGCTCCGAGCCACCTGCGGCTGTGCTGCACCACCCTCATGAGTAAAACACCTGGTACAGCTCAGCTAAACCAGCTGAAAATCGTTACCCCCTGTCCTATCCCAGCAGGACCTGCTAAAAGCTTTGTGCCCATCTTCCTTGCAAGCCTCAAGCCCTGAAAGGCTGAGCAGAATCCTCCCCGCAGCGGTGTACTCAAGGGATACAATGTTTAAGGTGCTCACCTGACATCATTGCACGATCCTACAGTGGATCTACTCCAAGCCCAGCAGCCAAAAATGCTCAAAAACATAGCAAAGAATAGAAAGCCAAAGTAATAAAAAGGAGTAACGAAGAGGAATATTTACTTTGCATTTTCTTTGAAAATCCTGGTGAGAGGTTTTCCCAGAATTCTTCTTACAGCTGGAAAAGCCTTGACAATCGTAATTGGGCTGTACAAAGTCCTCCAGAGGGACATCTGTGACCTCATCGAAGCAGTGGCCGTAATGTCCCCTTGTACTAGCGTGGGGAGGGAGAGCAAAAAGTCACTAGTGCTTTTTTTCTTTATTAGGCTGCTCATAGAGACTATTCAATCAAAAAGCAGAAAAGGAGCTAATGACAGTAATGCATCACACAGAATACAACAGTTAGGCTACAAGAGACAGGAGGCTCTCATTCCCAGACACGCTCATACCTGGAAAGCTCTTTCTCCACACTTTGTAGGTTTCTTTCAGTTCTCCTCAGCTGATTCTGTAGTGACTGCACATTTGCGAGCAGGTCCTCGTCAGCATCACTTTTAGAGCAAGTCCACATACTACATTCCATTGGTAACATGCATAAGGCTAAAGTAATATTTAATAGTAAAACACTGTTAAATGGGCATAAAAACTATATGCAAAAAAAAAAAAAATTTAAAGTAAAGGAGAAAAAATACAACAATGAAAAAACTCAATTTCCAAATGTATACATTTCACACACTCCTCCTTCCTAGGTTCATTTGATAAAAGTAACAAATTGTCTCTTTTGTGAGGAGAATGCATTCCTGAAGTACAGAAAGCTCCATGACTTGCCATAGATGAAAACTGGAAAAACCTGCCGTGCGTTATTTGCCAGAAATCCGTCACGGAGCGCATCCCAGAGATGTGGCGGTGCCGTGCACCTGGCGGGGAGCCCGGGAAGCGAACGGCGCACGAGCAAAACTTGCCTCACAGCCGTGACCAGCGCAACGAGAGACCAAAGCGAACCGGCCCCGGGCGGACGGGCAGCACCACAGCCAGGGCGGGGAGCGCCGCAGGACCCCGAGGCAGGGGCCCGGGCTGGCGGAGAGCTGCGGCACGGGGCGCTGGCGGCCGTCCCTCGGCTCCGAGCGGCCCCGCCCCTGGGTGCGTGCGCGCGCGGGGGCTGCGCGCTGCGAGGCGCTGCCGCGATGGGGCCGCGGCCGCTGCTGGTGCCGCTGGCGTGCCTGGCGCTGCTGCTGCCGCCCCGCGCCGCCGAGTTCAGCCCCTCCCTGGACAGCGACTTCACCTTCACGCTGCCCGCCGGCCGCAAGGAGTGCTTCTACCAGCCCATGCGCAAGGAGGCCTCGCTGGAGCTCGAGTACCAGGTCGGGCAGGGCGGGAGGGGGCGTTTCCCCGCGGCGTGTCCCGAGGGGAGCCGGGCTCCCGCATCCCGCCGTGACCGGGTCTGCCCGTGGCCCTGTACGGCGGCTCCGCCGGCCCTGCTGCCGGCAGCCCGGTCCCGCCTTGCTGAGGAGCAGTGCGGGCCGGGGACGCGGTGCCTGCCCCGAGCAGCGGCCGCGGGGCTCCCCCGGCCTGCCCGGGACCTGGCCGGCCTCGGCAGCGCCCGCCAAGCCACGTTGGAATTGTACACTGTTAGAAGTTCAGCCTTATGGAGTTAAAAATTAACTTACCGCCTTTTTCAATTATTCTAATACGTTCTTCTGGTGGTTTGGGGGGGAGTTTTTTGTTTCTGCTTTAGAGGAGCTCAGGTCGCCATCCTTTAAAAGGGCAGAATGTAGAAAGTTCAGGGTTGTGACCTTGTGTTGTAGCCCTAAAGCGTAAGGAAGCTTGTGCTGATGCACAGAGCCCGTACTTGCCTATCTTTGTGCTGATACGAAACACCTTTCCTCTCAATGGTGAACGTTTTACAGAAACAGCCCAGTTTAACAGACTGTCGTTAAGATTTTGCTGTCCTTCTTGAGAAGAGTCGAGTTTCCCAGAGATGTCTGGGATATATCTTGATCTCAGACATTTTCCCCCCTTACAACAATGACTTTTTTCCCCAGTAAAATAGGTTCAGTGAAGGAAGCTGCACTGAACATTCTCCCACCCTGTTTCTGTGCCTAGAAATGGGCCAGGACCTGTCTTTCTTCCCCTCCATCTGTTTTTCCCCTCTGTTTCCCAACTGAAAGAGAAAGCTGAAATCCATGGTTTTTCCTAGTTTCTAATACTGTTACATGCAGAACTGAACAAGAATGAAAGAGAGGTGTTCAAGCTTTGTTTAGAGTCCTGTCTCAGCCAAACAAGTTTATTTTGCAAGAGTGGGATTTTAGTTTGATCATAAGCTAAATAAATACATTATTTTACAAAGAACTAGTGTATATAACATCGTACCTTATTTCTACTTAGGCGTAAATTTCTTAGCACTACTGTTAACAGTAATTATTTGGTTTTCTATTTGAATATGTAGAAAAGGAACAGTAATTATTTGGTTTTCTAATTGAATATGTAGAAAAGGAGCTCTGTATATTACTGCAAATAGATAATTTTGTACTTAATTATATTTGTGGCTAAACCATAAGTATTTAACAGAGGATGCAGGTAATTCTCCAAAGACATAAGGTAAACACTATGCTAACACAAAGCAGTCATTGACAGCAGCCATAGAAATGCCAGATTTAGCCATCTCTTGTTGGTATTTTTACAGCTTGTCTAGCCCTGCCTGTTGATAAAACTGCACGCATTATTAAAAGTAATTAGGGAACGGTTCAGTATAAGCCCAGCCTGGCAGATTTAGTTTAAGATTCTGAAATTGCTAAAATGCTTTTAGGTTCAGCTGTTTTTCCATCTCTTTACAGTTAATATGGTGTCAGCTCATCCAGACAGATTAATCTTTCAGATTCTTTATTTGTCTCTTCCCTTACCTAAAAACATTTGCCTTCCCTATAAATGTTGCTGTAAGCAATGCAAACAGGAATTCAATGGATCAGAGGTTGGTTATTTTTGTTTGTTTCACAGGTTCTAGATGGAGCAGGATTAGATGTTGATTTTCATCTACTCTCCCCAAAAGGTGAAACTCTAGTTTTTGATGAAAGAAAATCAGATGGAGTTCATACGTAAGTTTAAAATCTTCAAACTCAGAAGTGTTACATAAAGAACTTTTCTGGTTTCTTTAGCAAATATAACTAAAATGAAGGTTGAGTACTTTTTATTCCTTGGTGTTTCAAAAGACTTTCTAATAGGACAGTTTGAGAATACCAATTTCCTTTTTATAAACACTGAATGCTTTTTACATTAATTCTACCATGAAGTGAAGGGTATTTTTGTTTTAATGATAGCTGTTCATATTCAGTGGATTAAAATAATTATTATAGAGTTGAAAAAGGTCTCCATATCTAATACCAGAAGATCATGTGAGTCACATAAATAAGAAGCTAGAAAAGTCCCCAATTTTTCCAGACCTTTTGTCAAAATATGTAACATTTGCTGTAATTTTACTGTACGACATAAGAACTCCACTTAGAGTGTATTTTTTTGTAATGATTAGCAATGATTCAAAATCCCCAAAAAGAAATTAAAGCAAGTCGCTGTCTTCATCATTTTGAGCCTTTGGAGTCAGTAGGATTGTTTTCCTGTGACTATGTAAGCTGTAAAGTGTCTTTAGAGTTTTCTTTTTATACAAGAAGAAGATTTGGTTATTTCTAAATGCACGATTTTCAGTCTTAAAGGGAAGGGTGTGCTTACAAAAATTGGTCTTTTGAGAACCAGCACAGAAAGTGCAGTTAATCATATTTTGCTTATACACACAGTGTGGAAACAGAAGATGGGGATTACATGTTCTGCTTTGACAACACATTCAGTACCATTTCTGAAAAGGTGATTTTCTTTGAATTGATCCTGGATAATATGGGAGAAGATGGTCAAGATGAGGAAGACTGGAAGAAGTACGTTACAGGCACAGACCTCCTAGACATGAAGCTGGAAGATATTCTGGTTAGTATTTCATCTTTCATTCTATTCAGTGTAAGAGCACTTGGAAAAAAATTCAGCATCATGTAGCCCCTCTTACTTGGTCTGTTGCATCATCCTGGAATGTATTCCAGGTCCATATATTGCTTTTACGAATACAGGAAGTCTAACACCATGGATCTCTTGTTTACACACAGAAACTTGAAGATCTTTTCAGAATAGGCCCTTCATCAGCAAGAAGAAACTGCCTAGCTCTCAGTTGCTTGGTTTCCCATTCAGTTTCCTTTCTTCCTACTGCTAAAATGGGACATTCTTCCCTAGCAGCAATGAAATGAATACTTGGAGAATTAAAGTATTATTTAGTCCCAGTGATGTAGTTGGAATTACTGCATCATTTTTATCAATGTTTAAAGATCAAGTACTGTGTTAGCCTTATCATCACATCTTTGCAGAAGTGCGGATTACTGTTTCTGTCTTCAGTAAATTAGATATTACTATATTAGGTTTTTTGCCCCCAAATTTTATTACATCTTTTCAAACTAATAAACAGAATGAGAGATAATTTGCATAAACTACAAGTTCATCTTTGCAGACATTGGTTATGTTTGCTTCAGCTGTATGCTGAGCCTGTTTGATGTAGGATTCAGACTACTGCTGAGTCAAAGCTCTTATTCCTTTTATGATCATTAAATATTGAGATTACTCTAGAAGCAAAGGATTGCTTGGTGCTCCAGTACCACTGTTCTTAATGCTTGGTAGGATGCAGTAAAGCTATTGTTTGTTTGATCATAGCTACAGACAGTAGGTATCTTAAAAAAACCAACCCAAAACCCCAACATCTGCACACACCTACTGAATACGTCATGTAGAAAATCACAGTGTATTATTTACTGCCATAAACACAATGCAGATTTTTAAATAACAAAACAAACCATGTTTAAAATATTTTATAGGTGTATGATACACTCTTAAATAATAATAAAACCAACTACAGAATCTGAAAATGTGATCAGATCTTTAAAATTAGCAGTCAAGACACTTAGAAAAAACCAAAATTTATATGTGAAGTTGTGAAGAAAATCCCACTACACTAATCACAGAAAATACTGAGATGGATTTGATAGATACTTGTTTACATACTGGTATCTCTTCCAAAAGAAAAAGAAATGCAGAACTTGTCTTTGAGAGCCTTGAAAATCTTATAAAGTAGGTAATTTTTGTAAAGTTAAGATTAGTATCTAATGCTATTGTTTACTTAGCTAAGTATTACTTCCCTACAAGTTCTGTGAGGACTAACATAAGCACTTAGTAGTTTAATTCCTTAATGAGAACAAATTTTCTGGCAAAAATAGAGAATTATGTCTTATGTTTAAATCTCTTGTGTGGTGTTCATTTTCCTTATTGTGTAACAATGAACTTTATCATCATAAATTTATTTGGCTCCCCAGAATAGCTATTTTGAAATATTTTTGTTAATTATGAAACAGAGAAAACGTTACTGCTGGATTTAGCCTTATGATTTTGGGGATTTTTAAAAGTTACTAGCTTCCTCTTACTGCAAATGTTACTCTTCTCACTAAAAGTTACTTCAGGATCCATAATTATAGCAAGAACATAATTCAGCACTGCACGAGGTCAGCTTTTGTCAGTATCTGTTATGTGGTGGATGAAACTTCAACAGATCACAGATGTTTACTTAGTAAGTGCAGAATAAAGTGCGAATTTTGAGCTGCTGTTGTCATGGCTGGAGTGTTCATGTACTTCCCCTAGTTCCAGGCTCACACTTTATGTCCTTTCTAGGACCTCCCATTTGTCCTGTTCAAGATTTATTGTCAAAATTCTGCTTCTATATCAAGGCTGAAGCAGCAGTTTATAGCCACCACAGTGGAAATACCAGAAGCAGACAGGAAAGTAACTATTGCAGTTTTCTTTTGCTACAGATATAGTCCTGGTGGTAGTTTCCATTCAAAAAACTCCTTAATTTTATTATGCAGCAGAAAAAACTCTACATTTGCATGCTACTACATAATTTGTTTTGAGACTAGTTCTGCAGATTCTCTACTTTTTATTAGTCCACATAGGTTTGGACTAATATACCTCCCTACCTATAACACAGAAAAAACAAAATTACTACAGAACAGTAATGCTACATCAACTAAGTCTTTTTTAACTAATGCACA